TATATTATAAGTAGGTAGCTACAGGTGTAGCATGAGTATACAGGTATCTACAGGTATATTATAAGTAGGTAGCTACAGGTGTAGCATGAGTATACAGGTATCTACAGGTATATTATAAGTAGGTAGCTACAGGTGTAGCATGAGTATATACAGGTATATTATGAGTAGGTAGCTACAGGTGTAGCATGAGTATACAGGTATCTACAGGTATATTATAAGTAGGTAGCTACAGGTGTAGCATGAGTATACAGGTATCTACAGGTATATTATAAGTAAGTAGCTACAGGTGTAACATGAGTATACAGGTATCTACAGGTATATTATAAGTAGGTAGTTACAGTTGTAACTTGTAACATGAGTATACAGGTATCTACAGGTATATTATGAGTAGGTAGCTACAGGTGTAGCATGAGTATACAGGTATCTATACGTATATTTTGATAATGTCATCTGATTGTTTATATGTTACAGACTGCAAAAATGGCGACTCTTCGTGCAATGCCAAGAATGATGTGAGCAGAACTCGTTATACCCATGCCTGCCACAAGCCGGGATTCAAATACAGCTACTGCTACCATCCGTGGCTGGCAATTGTAAGTAGAGCTTGTAGTGTGGTTATTATGCTGTAAACATAGGCCATAATAAAAATATTGTATGTTTGCTCTTACCCGACCGACCCGCCAAAAAGCGACTAAAAAATTTGTATTGATCTTTCCCATTCTTTATTTTGTTTTTTTTACAAATTGTCTATCACTGTACAGTGTATATGAATCTGTCAGGCAATGCAATTATATGTTCCGTTAAGCAAACAAACATTCAACATAAAAGGTATCTCTACACAGAGCGAAACCCCGAGATGCTAGACACCACTGTGATGTGGTGTGTCGTGCGTGCGTGCGTTGCTTTGGTGCGTGTTCGCCCAGTGCCAGTGCCTTTTTGCGTGCGTGTGTGGTGTTATAGTGTGTGTGAGCCCGGGTGTGTGTGAACAGTGTGTGGTGGTGGTGTGTATTGTTGCGTTGCGTGCTGCATGCGTGCGTGCATGCGTCTGCGGCGTACATGCTGTGCGGTGCGTATATGCTTGTGTATGTATGTGCTGAGTGGTGGGTGTTTCCTCTGCCTTGCATTGCGCGATGGCGTGAATAATCAACAGTCTTGCCTGTCTGATAATGATACCTGAATCCAGGGGCGGATATAGGGGGGGGGTCCGGCGGGTCTGTACCCGTCCCCCTTTAATGTCAAAGTGCCCTAAAAAAGTTCCTTCCGGATATCTTTAGGGCTAGTTTTTCGTATAGAAGATTTTACTTACTATACTAATATAGGTATATAGTTGATTTTGTAGTTATTCACAACTTAGAAATGGAGGAGATAGAGAGGTCCGAGAGGGACCGGATTCTGATAAATTTTGCATTCTAGAACATCCAAATTATGCTCAGATCTTTCAGAATGCCCACCAATTTTTATCAATTTTTTCTTTTGGGGAGGTCCCCCCCCCCCCCGGCCTCGGCCTCGGCGCTTTTAAAAACACCAGAAAAATTAAAGCCAGCGAGAAGTGTTTGTTATAGTTGATTTCTTACCTGGACACCTTCCTTTCAAAAATATCTGGATCCGCCCTGCCATCGTTCCTATTCTCGTGCGTGTGTTCTCCCGCCATTGTTACAATCATGTGCGCTCTCGCTCTTCTGCCGTCGATAGTTAGTAACTAAGCGAATGGTACGATCACTCGACAAACTTTTTTAATCACGAACACTATTTCCAGGCGTTTTCTGGGTATCAGCTGCTCTCTGTCCAGCCCCTCCACGCGCCCGATCCCGGGGTGCGATGCTGTGTGCGCTCGCGGTCTCCTCCCTTCGGGCGTCCTCCTCCTCCCTCCTCTTCCCTCCTCCTCGCTCCTCCTCTTCCCTCTTTCTCTCCTCCTCCCTCCTACTTCCTCCCTCCTCTCCTCCTTCCTCCTGCCTCCCCTCTGCCTCCCACCTCCTCCTCCCCTCCTCCTCTTCCCTCCTCCCTGCTCTTCTTCCTCCTCCTCCCTCTCCTCCTCCTTCCTCTTCCTCCTCCTCTTCCCTCTTCCGGCTCTCTCCCGCAATCGTTACAATCACGCGCATCTGCTTCTGTTACAGATCGGCATTCCGTTTGCGATGATCGGCGTGCTTGCATGGTTATCTCCTGCATGAGGCGCCCCCTGCTGGACACACGGCCAGAGTAAGTAGACTAGCCGGCGGTCAGTGATCGAGAATCGGTTGGACATATCTAGGGCATCGACGACTAGCCGCGAATTAGGGCGGCTCGGGTAGGCAACAGGGCGCACGTGACCAGGCCCCCCAATTTGGGGCCCCCCACATCTCTAAGAGTATCCTAAAATTTACAAAACCTGTCGTAAATTGTGATCCACAAAATTCCTTAGCAGTGTATGTACAGTTGAAGTGATGCGTGTGCATGCTGTTTCTCTGAACCTGAATTTTGCTGTTCAGCTGTAAGAACACTTTCCCTAACCCTCGAAATTGCTCTGAGATCTATCTATTATTGATGGTCGGTCGAATGTTATCTCTCTCCTTGTTGTGGGAAGCCGTCATTTTTTAAAACTCAAGTGATTAAAAATCACGTGGAGAACGCGATGAGCAACAGAGACTGGTACCTCAGTATTCTCGCTATTGCGAAAGTGACATTTTAAATTCAGTTGAAACACGATGAACATAACTCTCTGAATTTGCAAGCATGAAACGTGCGCAGAAAAATACAGACTATAAGGGCCTCCACTACATTAGCGTGGCCCCGGCGCCGCCCCCCCTCCCCCCCCACACGCTTAGTCCGGCCTGATCATCGATCATCGTTTGCACTCAAGGCCGATCGGATATCGACGATAATATGGTTGGAGTGTTAGTGATCGTGCGGCTACTCCAGATGGATCGACAATATATCAGGTAGTACAGATTCTGGTTTTTTATAATACAATATTTCTAAAAGCTAGTGTAACGCAGCAGCGGCACGAAATTCAGATTAGATTGCGTTCGCGGCGAGTGTGGATGTGATTTACCTTTATTTAGCTCGATCTGACGTAGTCAGATGCAGCTTGCTAGAATCGGCGCGATGGATCGATCCGGTCGTGCCGGATCGCTCGTCAACAGCTTGGGCAAGATCTTTAAGCGCTCGACGTTCTGGGTCGACGAATATCTCGGCGTCGTTGGCGGGGCGATCGTCAAAACGAGTCGTGCGGATGTCTCGAAGCTGGGGGTCAAAGGGTCCAAAGGTCAAGAAGCTGTAAAAAGAAGGGGGGATATCACTTCAGCTCCTTAACTTAAGGTAATAGTGGAGGAAATGCCGAATTGCAAGCACCAAGCTAAACGGCTCCGACCTAGGACTCGTGATAGTCGGCTGTATAGCAAGTCTGTAGGAAAAGCCGATCACTGTGCCGAAATGGGAGGATCACAAGCTGTCAGAAGGTCAAGTTGGGCACAAGGGCAGAGTTTAGAATCTTTTCTGACGGACCTTGGCATCTGACGGGCCTCAGCGATTGAAAAATTTCTTGTTTTCAGCGGTAGAGCTCTCGGTATTTTTATGGCTTTATCTGAAAGGACCATGAAATGCTCGCCTGTGCCTGCTGATATAGCGCAAGGAAGATTTAGAGTGATCGGAATCAACCTTTGACCCTCATAAAGGAGGGTTAAACTTGTTTATTCTGTTTAGACTGTCTGGTTAGACAGGAATTTGAATGCCGCCGGCGCTTTGCTAGTAGAATCTATACATGCGCTGCGATGGTATGAGCGCTCAAATGTCCACAGTGAAAGTTTCCAAAGACTAAATTGTGGAGTTAAGAAGGTGTATGATTCCTAAACTCGTATTAATTTCTATGTCATTCCACTGTATGTCGAGTTTGTTACATGTACGTATGCCACTGCCAGTGGCTGCTTGCCAGTGCATGTTGGTGGTATGTGGCGCGTGTAAGGTGAGTGTTCTAACCTCANGTTTACTAGAATCCCACCACTCCACCACAGAGTCACCGCAGTAGACGTTAGATGAGCGCTGTCGCTCTGCGGCACTTGTTACTTTAACCCTTGCCACATTTTTTCTGTGATTGTGTTGCATTACTTTTATTAACTTTACCCCAGGGGCGGGTCTAGCTTTCAGGAAACGAGGGGGGGAGGGGGTTATATGATATTTGAGATAAGGCGTGCCTTTCGGTGGTAGGGTGGTCCGGGGGCATGCCCCCCTCCCACCTGGAAAATTCAGGCAGCCGTGTAGTTACAGGGGATATCCCCAGTTTCTATCAGCCTGCAGACTGACTTTTTTTATATTTTTGACCCCATTTTACTAGTATCATAACATTAGTCAGTGTCTGAATGGGGGGGGGGGGTTGCAACCCCCCCTCTAGATCCACCACTGTAACCTAGCTACATTTTTTAATAACTGATACAAAATGTAGTTTATTTATTATTTGTCTATAATATTGAATCGTTTATTTTAGTAAGTAAGTTTATCAAATTCTCGCCGCACCATCCCCCCCCCCCCCCCGTGTAACCTGGGGCAAGGCCTTCATTCGCGGCGACGCCGCTCCACATCCGGGGGTTTAGTTCTGTCCTCACTCTTCAGGGCCGTAGGCTGAGGAAATGCCTAGGGGGGTAGTGACGGATCCAGGATGAGGGGTGAAAAACAGGCGGGGGGGTCTGGGGGTCCTTTCACCGAAAATTTTGAAAATGTAGATCGCAATAGATGGTATTTGAGGCACTTTTGAGTACATGTACAGCCTTCATTCTGACTACGACAATTCTCTTTTAGTAGAACTTTTTTTTTTGCTTCAAAATCTAGGGGGCAGCTGCCCCGACCCCCCGCAGGCTACGACCCGGCTCTTTCTCTCTCTGTAGCATCAGCGTCAGTTTCGCGACTGTCAGTGTGCGTGCTTACAGCTTCAGTACTGTGTCTGTACAGCTTGCTGTCCACACCAGCGACAATAGAGATTTATCGCAGCGCTCCTAATATAGCGCGTGTGTCATTTGCGCCAATTTAACGTTATCGAAGAGAGAGCGAGTGACGTGCGTTATAGAATACGAGCTTAAATAACATTTTTTTGCGGCGCAGTAAATCGTGGAATTTCGCCGCGACGTTGTTTGTGTTAAAGCACCGTCGCTGCGCTTGTAACGTAACGACGGAGTGTGAGGTCGTTGACGTTGTAAAATCGTGTCGAGTTGCGATTTTTTTTTTTTTTTAATATTTTTTTATAATGCTTTATTTCCAGAATCATGATTATATACAGTACATACATACAGAGAAGAGTTGGTATCGATTACATGGTATTCTATCCTATATATCATTTTCGATTACTGTGTATTAGTTTGGTGCGAAATTGACGCTGGCATCGTCATCGTCGCTTCGTGTGAGCGTCTCCGCTATCACCCTTCGTTCGAATTCAGGCCCGTGCAAAGCTGGTAGTAGGCCCAGGCCAGGTGGGAAGTGTAGGCCCCATTTCAAACTGCTCATTATGTTTCATTGTAATCAGTGCTAAATACATATGATTTATGTATGGATTTATATACATGTGTATTAATCGTTTATGATTCTTCTTTAAAATATTAATATTTTGTGCTAAATGATGCCCCCCTTGACTCGCTTTACAATATCAATATTCTTTACCAAAGCCTCTTAGCCTCTTCCAGAGGTAAAGCCCCTAGAAAAAAAGCCTTAGCCTCTTAGCTAAAATAAAGCTTTACCTCTTAGCCTCCAGAGGTAAAGCCTTAGCCTCTTAGCTAAAAAAAGCTTTACCTCTTAGCCTCCAGAGGTAAAGCTTCTAGAGGTAAAGCCTCTTTACCTCTTTTTAGCCTCTACTAGGGCTGGGGAGTATAGGCCCCCCTCAAAATCGTCGGCCCATGCCAACTGGCCCACCTGGCCCGCCCTCTGTTCTGGCCTGTTTGAATCGCACCGCGTTACATTACATTGCGTTTTATTGGAATGTTTTTTGGTTGCTAGTAATTTTGCCACGTATCTCATTTTACTATAACTACGTCACGAATTTTCTATTCTCTTTGGGAGCGGTAAATTTTCACAATCATATTCATATCAAATATATTATGTATATTATATTTGTTGGAGCGAGCACGGAGAATTTTCGCATTACATACGTGCAGCTATAGTACTACCTTAATTGTCACATTATTATTATTTATAGTTACTGTTAAAATATTTATTTATGTTAATAATTGTTTAGTGCATTTAGCTGTTGTTGACTTGCTGCACGAACGAGTTGCATTACTACGTGAATGTTTCCATGGCAATGTTTGTCGCCGGTCGTCCCTTGTGACGTCGTAAAAAAAGACGTAAATCCTCGTCACACCGAGTTGACGCTCCGTCGTCATTATTACCACCTATATCTGTCTGCACGTACGCTGCATGCACGCACTCTGTCTGCACGTACGCTGCCTGCACGCACGCTGCCTGCACGTACGCTGTTTGCACGCCTGCACGTACGCTGCCTGCACGCACGCTGCCTGCACGTACGCTGTTTGCACGCCTGCACGTACGCTGCCTGCACGCACGCTGCCTGCACGTACCCTGCCGGCCCGCTTACTACGTGGGTTCGATTTCCCGAGAACACATCGCATGAAGTGTTCAACATATCTGCTGGAAACGGACGATAAATATTCTCCATATATGATAACTACAGGAATGAAATGTATCTTGGATTCGTGAATTCCGACTGTTAAGTCCGTTGACATCCTATGATATCGGTTGATCTTCCCTAAACAGGAGATAATATAATTATAGGCCGTGGCTACGCGTCCGATTACCGGACGCCCAGCTCCCAGGCTACACGTCTGGTCATATATTTCTTATGTGAACTCAACTATATGTTTTTCAGTAAAAAAAATGAACAATAAGTTTTTACCATAATATTACTTACCTGTAGGTATTTTATCAAAAAAACGTGTTTTTGTAACGTTAGAAGCAATAGTGAATCCGGTAAAATTAACGATTTGAAAGGGGGCGTCGTTAGTGGCATTCTGGAATCCTGCTCCGCTCGCAGCCTTTCGTAATGGACGCGTGCAGACGCGTTCATTTCATGTGAAAATATAATTTACTCTTATGATTCTTAATTATGTAACTAGAACAGAGGGCACTCAAAAAGAGTGCAATACCTCGCGAGCGGGTGTAACATGTATAAACGGCTGCTGCTGCTGCTGCCTGGACGTTCTAAGGCGAGCTGCTGCTGCCTGGACGTTCTAAGGCGAGCTGCTGCTGCCTGGACGTTCTAAGGCCAGCTGGTGCTGAATCGATCGCTGGTGCTGAATCGATCGCTGGTGCTGAATCGATCGCGCCAACGCTACAGCGTATAACAGCTGCCTCGCTGCTGGCTACACACACACACACGAACATCACACGAGAGGGGTCACATTACCTCCCTGCAACTCCGTTGCGGAGGTAATCAGACAGAAAACCCATCTCAGGATTCCTGTGTACACCACGTCTTCGAAATCCGTCGCCGGCGTGCGTCCGCGTCTCTCTCCTCACGCGCCCGCCCGTCGCAGCACAACAACCCAACACGTACGCTCACTTGTTTCAGGAGCGAACGACCGACCATCACCGTCGCGCCGACCGCGGTCAAGTCCCACCAGATGGAGCCAGCGTTCGAGGCGTACCCGCCGGGCGAGCAGCACTACGGTGGCGACCTCTACCCACACGAGGGCTACGCGGTTGACCGCTATGGGCGGCCGTACGACCCGGCAAGCTACCCGGGCGGCCCTGAAACCACGACGACGACGACCGAATACAAGCAGCCCTACCCGCAGCCGGGCGAGGGCGCCACCTACCCGCCGCACGGCTACGACGCGCCTGAGCCGTACAGCGCCGAGCCCACCGGGGGGCACCACCAGTACGACTACCCGCCGGGCGAGCCCGCCAGGGTGCGCCACCAGTACGACTACCCGCCGGGCGAGCCGGAGGAGGAGGAGGTGGCGCCGGCTGGCGAGAAGAAGAAGAAGCGCTATCGCAAGAAGAAACAGGAGGAGGAACACGATACGGTCGTGTGATAGTGCGCGCTGCGGCCGCGCCGGCGGAGGGATACGCTACAGCCGGATCTAGTTTTGTGACGGTGTTCGCGGCCGAACAAGAGAACGGCTGCGTGGTCCGTTCGCGCCGATTGATCGCGCCAAATTATTTCGGGTTGCCTAGCAACTCAATTTGTTTGTACTCACTGACGACGATTTTAGCCGCACTTTTACAAGTCGGCAATCGTGTGACGGAATTTTTATCGTGCAATCGTGCTTGCCCCCTATCTTACTCCCATTTCACGCTAACTTTTACGGGGTTAGGGGATGCATAATAGAGATTGCCCCTGGCTACTGTGCACACCATATTTTATACTATTTTACTCTAACATCTAGGGGTAGATGACTTTAAACCGAAATTCTGGCATGCAATCCTGTTGTCCCTGTTTTACTACATTTTTGCCGTAATTTTATGAGTTGAGGGGTCATCCAACCGATGTTGTTATTAGGTTACTCTGCATACCTCGATTTTACTACTAGTTTAAACCAAATTCTGTGGATTTGGCGAGTCCTAACGCAAATATTCTAGGTACGTAATCGCATAGGTACTCTCTCTATTTTACCTTCGTTTGGCTTCAGCTTTGAGGGAAAGCAGTTTGGAGGTGACCTTATAGTAATGTTGCGATGCCAGACGAGCCGTGTGTTTATTTCATTTTCTGCACTGCCGTTTTAATGTCATTAATGTAATTGCCTGTGTGCTCGTACTATATATATGGTGGCCTTTTCGTGAGGCTCTGTACTACTGCATGCATGGCTGCAGCCATGAATACTCTGTAGACTCGGTGTAACGATACATTTTGTTTCGGTTCGGTTTTTTTATTTATTTTCAGTAGTAAAACTGCTGAGAAGATGGCGAAATTTGCCCTCCATTTTGAACAATAATAATAATAATACCTAGATCATAATATTATACATTTATATATTACTGGGCTTGGCGTAAGTGCTGAGCTGTTTGCTCGCCGTGTGCGCCGCCTAACTGAGAGTGGGTTGGTTGTATTTCCCGGAACCGAACCAAGAACCGAAACGAAAAAAAGAAAGAAAACCGAACCGAACGGGATGTAGGCCTACTGCGATACAGTTGAATCGCAGTTAATCGTTACACCCCTACTATCTACTGTGTTGCGAGTGAGCGAATCTCTCGTGGCGTGGAGGGACGCATACGCCTAGCTATGGCTTCTATAGAGAGAGAGAGTGTTTTCGCCTTGGATTTTTATCGGGGTGTGGGGGGGGGGGGGGGGGTGGTTTTGGTAACGATCGGCCGGGTGGTTCCTGAATATAGGTGATTAGTATTGAGCATATTTTATATGTATAGTTAGCATTTAACTCTCTTTTTATTGATGTAGTTCTAACTCGTTATTATGCCGTCCTCATATCATCCCACGTCCAACGATATATACATATATATAATAATACATATTAATGTTCGTATATCATATGACTGCATGTATATTATATATATATATATATATATACATACAGAGGCGTATCTATATGTGCTGTATATAAAAACATGTTATTATCAAGAGCGGATAATACTATTATCCGCTCTTGTATTATCCGCTCCTGGTATTATCCGCTCTTGTTATTATGTGTATATAGTAACATGTTATTATGTGTATATATAATATAGTGACATGTTATTATGTGTATATAGTGACATGTTATTATGTGTATATAGTAACATGTTATCAGGAGTAGATAATAGCGAATTATTCTATTCCCTTCCCGAATTATTCGATTCCCTATTATCTACTCCTGATGTTATTGTAGACAGCTCGGTGGTAGAACCACTGTCAGCTAGTGCCCCCTGGCGACGAAAATCGATAACAGCGTGGATCTGTGAAGCAATAGCGGGTAGATATTAATGTTAGTGTTGTTACTGGCACTGGTTCATGCCAGCCAGACGTGTTGACTCGTGTTACTTACTTGCCAGTTATAAACATACTCATCTTGGTCTTTACAGTGTCATACTCTATATAGGAGCCGTCGATATGTCTATCGTTTCATGCGCATGTAAACAGAATGATGGTATTGTAATGCAAGTTGAGTTGAGCATACATTCATTGATCAGGTCATTCTTCGCGGCTGTTATTCACCTGTTGTTCAACTGTTATTCACCTGTTCTGAGCATATTGACCGTCCACCGTGATATCGAGTCCGCGAAATTTAAATCGTGCTCGAAATCTTTTTCGCTCGGTTCTGAATTGTCGTGATCACACATGTGATACGCCGTTTGGCTCGATTGTTACAAGGAGGTATACCCACGATTTTACTGTTCGTGTAATGTTACATCGCATAATAGAAGGCGTGTATATAATGACAGATATATTTCATTATTTACCCCTGATAATAGTACATAATCATGAAGACAGGTGCGCCCCCTATGATATAGATGGGTATAGCTGTTATTCTTTCGGGTTTAGTGTCGATTAAGTTCGTCGCGCGTGCGACGCTTAATGACGTTCGTTGTCGGATGGATGACGTCACCCGACGTAACGTATCGAAGATGGTGAGATAAAATCTTATGTCTGATCACTAACGGCAAGTAATGCTGAGAGGGTCTATGTCCCCCAGGGTACTGCCGGAGCGTACCCTGGTACTATCTAATATGCCGGACCGTACCTCGCCTACTCCACTAACGAGTCTAGGGAGTCGCCTACGCCTACTGCCTAACCCTAACCCGAACCCGAACCCTAACCCTAACCCTAATCCTAACCCTAACCATATCAAACAGTGACCAGGGTACGTTCCGGTATACCGGATCGTACCCAGGGTACGTTCCGGCAGTACCCTGGGGGACATAGACCCTATGAGCCCAAGTGATGCCGCACGCGTTGGGTTGTGATCGTGTAGTTATAGTTATTCGTCTGGCTTGCGTTGTGTTCCCAACTTCCGCGTGCAAGCAATCGTGTTCTCCTCCGCGGGTTATATGGGGGCAGTGGCGTAGCTAGGATTTTTTCAGCGGGGGGGGGGGCTTACATTTTCGTGGGGGGCACAATATATAACTTTCATTTGCATTATAACCTGTTTCAACGGCATTGTTTACCTCAATCTTTTTTTTATCAGCAATGAATTTTTCAGTGGGCAGGGCCCCCTGGGGGGGCACATGGAAAAGCTTTGTGGGCCACGTGCGCCGTACCCAGGCCCCACCCCGTAGTGCTACGCCCCTGTAGGGGGATGTGTCTTACGTAATTGTAGAGTAACCGACTAGTTTATTCTACTCAGGAACCACTAACACAAGTTAAATGTATCATTCTACACACTACACAAACACGTCTTTTCTTTGCAGTGCCTGTCCGTCAACTCTCTGAAAACTCTCTCTCTCTCTCTCGCTCTTCTAATAATAAATATATATAATATGAATATATATAAGATATATATATCTTCCGCCCTAGCTGACGACAACGGGAACTTCATACTGGTGCGATCCGGCTCCACAGTGATCATTGGCACGCGTGTTTCGCACTAGTAGTCTTGTCACTCGGTCGTCTCCGTGTGTATGTCCGGTTGTCACCGGCGTTCGTCTCCTGTTTGCCTGGTTGTCACGCCTGCAACGGTTTGACAAGTTCGCCAGCGGTCAACGCCTCGAACTACATGGGTGTCGGCACGTGGCAAAACATTAGTGTCCCTATGTAGCAGAAGAGTTTGGCGCCATGACGATTCTCGAGAAAAGCTATGCGTGTCACGTGTCGCCTGGACCCGACTTGTTGTTTCCAAATTAGATAGCGCACGTGGCTATGGCCTGGTAAGATAAGTGTAGCAGATTAAATTACATAAGGCGCGAACAATTGAGTTTTAAGCAATTTCTAGAAATGCTAGATACACATTAGACCAGCATAGTCTAGCTCTATAGATCTCTGTTAAATGTTGAGTTTTATGTGCAAGCATCGAAATAGTCTAATTAATTACTACGGAATATTGTACAGCGTATCCATACAGCGCTGTACTTAAGCGGCAGCGGTGTGGATCCATTTGGAAACAACATGGCGTCAAATCCTGAGTTGGCGCAACTCTCTGTATACAGGTACCCTAGTGCAACACACAGCGCGTGAGACGCGGAACGCCTAATGCGATAACATGCCCAGCCCGTACGCTAACATACGTGGAGTTTATACTACCCTATACACGCGCTAAGATAATACGCGTAGCTCTGCTACACCTATTAGGCAACCAAAGAGCTTATAATGATAATCTATTATTATTATAATTATAATTAGAATGATTATCATTATAAGCTCTGAGGCAACTGTGACGTCACCACTTTGTAGGGCCTACGGTTGATTGCGATGCTGAGCTGGTTATAATAATAGTTGTTGTTATCCACATCTCAGAAGGAGTAAATTTCGGTATCTTCTGAGCGCGGTCTGCAGGATCTCAGTAAGTTTTCATGTAAATATATAACTCCTGTACCGCGAGATAGGTGGCAGCACGTGTCGATCGCCACAGACTGTCCATGCGCGCGGATTTATAATAAAAACAATTTCGTCCGAGCTTTTCTTGCACGTGTTTGAATTTGCAACGGAGCTTGTCTGCATTGGTGGCCCTAGCTGTAGATTACATAGACAGACACCTGAATTGCTAGAGTGCAGTTGTAATGCCTTCACCGTGGGAATGGTGGCTTGATCGATGGAAGGATCAGGAGTTAATAAAAATATTTGGCGTTTATTCATTCATAAATGGGTGGGTGCAGGGCCGTAGCCTCTGGATGGGGTGGGGGGCAGCTACCACTCTAGATTTTGGAGCAAAATTAAAAAAAATAAGGCTTTATTTTGTGAAGATGTTTTTGGTTACTTATCCGTGAAAGCATTGTTTCAGACCTGAATGCATGTATGGAGGGAGGGAGGGATGGATTATGGAAGACATGATGAATTACTAGATATCATTAGATTACTAAGATAGATATCAGGTTAATGGGTGGGTGGATGTATGGGCAGAGTGGTGGGTGGGTGCACGGATGTATGTGCAAAGGCGTCGGAAGCAATAAAATAGTGCCGCGGCTTTGGTGTTGATGTCACTGCGGTTGTACATTTGTGAGTTTGGCCAGGATGATGATGATGATGAACCATCGAGACGATGACGATGAGTAAAAGAATACGCTCTTCGCAGCTTGTGTATTGTACAAAATATACTTTGTAGTTTGGCAATTGATAATAATGGCAGTGACAAAGGCTATGATTGTGAATACTTGTTCATGAGCTCTTTGCAATTTGCGATGCTATTCGCGAAAGCTGTAATTAACAAGGTATGAATCTAATCGGCGATGTTGTGTATATTATGAATGGTAAAATAGGCAGCCATGCTGAATTTGCCTCGGCAGAACGAGTTATGCAGGGGTTCGCCAGTTTAAGCATATAAGACTTGCTGAAAGGACTCTATAGACATATTTATGGTATGAATTTCATGTCATATAAGTAAAAACTCAACATAAGACAGATTTGGCGTAAATTTAACTTTCACTAGGGGGTGGGTATGTAGGAATTATTATTAAATGCTTTTATCAAAAACATTTTGCCAATGTTTTTAATATTTTTAACTCAGGGGAATAATAGAGGTTGAATTTTTGGTATATATAAATGATCACTGGGTGTACATTTGTGAAGTTGGCCAGGATGATGGATGAATGATGAAGCGCATCGAAGGGCGATGACGATGAGTAAGAATGCCGCTTCGCAGCTTA